TTTGTGCGGACGGAATGCGGTAGATACAACCTCAAATGATACAACCTCAAATGAATTAAATCATACCGTACCTAAGTTCACTTTAATGTATAAATCATTAGAATAATAAAAAATAAAAATTTTATAGATAACAAATAAATGTTTATCATAGTTTTTATTTTAAAAATAAATTTGAATTATTATACCTTTACTTTATATGAAATTCAAAATTACATGTTTTATTATATTAATAAATATTTATTATTTATTTTTTCCTGTGATATAATCGAAATTCGGTATTAAATTTTTAAATTCAAACATAAAGAAAAAGATCCTAAACAAAATTTTTTGGGTAAATTTCATTTTATCTTGATTTTCATATAATCACATTCCTAACAAATTAATTAATATTATATTTTTTTATCTACATTATCTAACTGATTTTTTATGATACAATTAATATAATATCTTAACTAATTAATAATTTATCTAATTGAATTTATCTCTCTAACAAACTTGCCAATTTTTTTGAAATTAAAATGGTATGATTATTTTTGTGGAGATAATTGACGTTTAAAAAATATAAAATCAAAACCGTTTGAATAATATTACTTAAAAAAATATTGTATAAAGAGAAGTGTTTAATAATATATATTTTTCATTGTTTGTATCTATTTTATTTTCATAATAGACGAGATGTGAAAAATATAAGTAATTATATTTAAAATAAAACCTAAAAAAATTTAAAATATGAGCTCCTACGTGCATCGCACGGGATATACACTAGTTGAAATTTATCCGATATGGAAGGAATCTCATCCAAAATAAGGAAAACGTGTATGAAAAAATTTCAAATAAAATTTTAGGCGGAAAAAAAAGGATTTGGGCGGCAAAATGAAAATATTTTTCAAACATTTTTTCTTCTCTATATTATATAGTAATAGATATATTACTTCTACAAGTGTTATGAATAATAATGACATTATATGATAATAGATTTTTTAATAGATTAATAATTGAGTATTATGATGAACCACAATATGTAAAATTATTATTATTTTGTATTAAAAAATAAATATATATGTTAAAATATTATATAATAATATATTGGTTCATCATGCTATTACAATAAATTTTATAATAAAATAATATGAGTATTATACGAGGAACAAGATTACGTAAAATTGTTATTTTTCTTAGATCAAGGAATAAATATATATAATGAAATTAAATTTATATTATTATAAACATGTGAGCGAGATAATATATTAATTAATTTACGGTCTAGCGCTACCACTACCAGGCTCAGGTTTAATGTCTCGACAAAAAAGATGACGTTGATGAAAGAGGTAAAAAAATAGATGATCAAACTCTATTACTTTTTTAGGCCTTAACTGACAACCCATATTGTCCACTCATTTAATATCTCCCGTGAATCACAAGAGCTACTTAACAGACAAACTCTGTGGAAATGACTCATTTAATATTTATGTCCCGTGCATCGCACGGGCTACGTACTAGTTATATATAAAAGAAGATTCTATTTACTACATTTACTATCTAAAAAAGTCAACTGCATTAATGCCATTACTATTACTATTTTGGTATTATAATATTATATTTGTTTAATTGATTTATTTATTTGTTTTATTTTAAAAAGGTAAATATAATAAAAAGATTTTAATAATAAAAAAATCAAATACCAAATAAAAATGTACACTTTGACTTATTTGATTATATTTGGTATTTGATTATACCAAATATATTCCTATTTAGTATATACATTAAATACTTACTAAAGTATTTATTTGTTTTATTTGTCAAAGTTAAGTATAGATTTGTTTATATTATCAAATCATAAAAAAATATTAAATCCATATTGTAAAAAAAAATCATATAATTTTATAACAATTCTACTACATTATTTAACAATATTTCTTTCTTATTATATAATAAAATAATAATTAAAATTTATATGGTGAACAACAATAAGTAAAATTGTTATTTTCTCTTATATCAAGGGACAAATTTATATGCTAAAATTAAATTTTTATTAGTATAAATGTTTTAGTGAGATAATATATTAATTATTTTACAAGCTAGCCCTAACATGCTCATATTTAATGTTTTAAAAGATGTAGAAAAAAAAAACTTATAATAACTCTATTGTTTTTTAGACTTAAACGTTGATTAAAGGAGGTAAAAATTCCTAATTTTTTAGACTTAAACGTCGATTAACACCATAGATTGAGAGTTTATATTTAGTAAAATTCCTAATTGTAATAAAAAAATTAATTTTTGCTATATTTTAGAATATCCTTAAATTCATTATAAAAAAAAAAGAAAAAAAACTACAATGAAAAAAGCAAGTCAGCTATATATCGATTTGTTGTACTCCTCAAATCACATTCACAATTTGGCTACAAGGAAAGGAAACTCGTTGATTAAATATTATTTTGTCAGTAGTCTTAATGTACAATAGACTTTAAGACTCCATTTGAATATTATAAAACTTTTATTGAATATTGTACAATTTTCTTGTGTATTATAAACTTTTATTGAATATTGCATCTTATAATATAATATTCTCCAAATAAATATATCTCGTGCTTCGCACGGGTCACGTACTATATATATCCCGTACATTTTTCTTTATTCATGTATATAATTATAAACCTGGATCAATAGCCTTAAAATTGTGTACCCCGTACATCGCACGGGTTCTGTACTAGTATGTATATATAATATGTGCAATCATAAGTTTGACAGTGACCATATCACATTTTATAATTTTATTATTAATAAGAATGAACGATATAAATATAAATTATTTAACTTATATATTAATATTTATATTGATTGCAATAATGTAACATTTGTAATATTGGCCAATTATGACTAATTTAATTAAATAAGAAATATTTAAATTATTATTATAGCAATTGTGTGAGAAGAGTTTTGGTCATGTCATAAAAAATAATTAATTTCAAGAACTGCCCTTAATTCGTAGTATAATTTTAAAATAAAAATCAACTATTATTTTTAAATTAATAGAATTAATTGTCAACTCATTCATATATTTCTAATTATTACTTATTCTAATCAATATTTTTATATTCTTTTATCACATCAACATCAATAATTACATCTACATACATTCATTTTATTTATCCACCAATTTTTTTTTTTCATTTATTTCATTTCATTCATCCACATTCTTTGTTTCATTATTCATCGAGACATAACTTTTCGTTAAAAAAATTGTTTAAACAAATTTTCACATATTTATATCGAGTGTCTCTCAAATTAAGTAATTTCATGCCATGCATCTTCTACTTACCCAACAGTATTGAAGTAAAGATATATTGCCGACTTATTCCATAGAACAGTAATAATTTTATCTTTATAAATATGGGATACATCAAATTATTATAGGTAAGTTCCATGTGTTGCCTTTAGTTAAAATGGCTTGCTCCCAATAAGTGGTGTGTGGAGTCTCATAAATATTATTTTAATGAACTCATCTTCATTCATACAAACTGGCAAATATACAGTTACATGCAAAATCATTGTAATAAAATTAAAAAAGAAAAAAAAAAACAATAAGCTTATATTGTAATATCACAATTTTAAACCCGTTTTGCATAGCGAACACTAACCAACCTTACATCATCAATCACCGGACCACATAAAGAACCTGAATTGTCACTCTTCATATGATAATTCAAGCTCAAAAATCTAACTCTTGTACGTGGTGACACGGCTTTAAACTTGAGCTTAGTTTGTTTGAATCCTCCATTGCCACTCGACTCGTAAGGAACTTCAAACCTCTCTCTACCCGTCATCACCTCAACCACCATTTGTCCTTGGCAAGAATTTTTCGCATCGCCTATTGTGAATATGAGTTCATGAAGCTTTCCTGGTACAGTTTTCACGATCTGTACTAATACACTTTCTCTACCAGCAACTAATTCAACCGCTCGTTTGCCTTCAGGCACCACATAGTGATCGGAGTCGATGTACTTCACGGCTTTGAGGGACTCGATAATCCAACCGGGTAATGGGGAGTGATGATCTTCAATATTGGGAGGAATTAGGACTCCCCAAGTTGATTTAGGGAAGATGTATGGACCCTCTTCAAAGTTCCCATTTTTCAACATGTTGCCTGCATTATTTGAGAAAAAAAAAAAGAACTTTAGACTTTTTTGGCCACAACAAGAACAAAATGAATGTTCAAATGATTTAAATTAACAAATATTCCATAAATATATCTATATTCAAATTCAATTTCAACTCAAAATTTGACTCAATTTCGTTATTCTCAGTATTAACAATATAATTAATCAATATCAATCAATCATCCGTACACATCACATCAACTGTAGTTCATTATTCATCCACTCCCATAATTTTAACTACTTATCACTTCAAATCACTTATCTTCTACTTTTACATCAAATCAACTTTAATTATTTTATATTAAATAGTATTTTAATACAAATTAAAAATCTCACTAAGAAGTTAAAAACTAATCAAAACAAATGTTTCAAAATTAAATATAGTTAAAAAAATCAAAATTGGATATATCTATATCCACTCACCCCTGAATATGTGAAACAAAAAAAAATATATATATATATATTCAATGAGAATTGAGAGAGTGAATTACCTCTTTTCCTCGTTGATGCACGTAGGGCCTTGATAGCAACAGAATCGATAACTGGGCCGCAAGCTGGATCCTTTTCCTTTCCAGGATTATGGAACGTGATCTCAATCTCATTGGACTGGGCCAAAAAGCCCCAAGAATACGTATCCCACCCATCGCTACTGTAAACAGTCTGTATGGGCAGGACTCCCCAACCATTGGGCTCCTTACTGGGCCGAACGGATACATTCAACTTCTCCTCTTGGGCACATGTCCTAGCCGCACTAAACGAAATGGAATAAAATATGCCGCTTGTGACCTTAACCTTGGTCTTGATGGAGGCCTCCTCGCCTAACCGTACGGCGGAGGCCCCCTCAGGCACGACCAATAGCATGTCGCCTTGCTTGTGGCCCGATTTTATGTACTCAATAAAACCGGACAATTCCCAAAAGGGTATTGCGTGTGGGTTGATTACGCGGGTTCCTTTCATTTGCGAAGGTTTTGGGCCGTACTCGAAGTTGCCATTTGGTAATAGCCCTGAAAATATTTTCCCAAATTGGAAAATCATGTAAATGTTCAAAATTTTGTGGGGAGAAATAAAAATAATGCAATTTAAGTAAAGGAAGAAAAAGTAAGGACATGATCAAAGCTTACCATCGGCTGAACATAATGCAATATTGCTCAGACTAGCAACCAAAAACACTGTGAACATGTTCATTTTATTCATGTTGTTAAAGTGTGTGTTTGAAGAGAGAATGAGCTTTGATTATAAATGATGAATTCATGGATCAGGAAGGGGTTTATATGCAATTTTGTAAGTGAGATGGCCCCTCAATTTGGAAGGAATAACGAAACTGCCACCACACTTTCTTGTTAACTGCTTGTACATATAATGATTTATAATTCAGCCTCTTATAACGAGTGGTAATTAGAGCAGTAAACCAAATGAGCCGAGTTCGAGTTCTTGATACTTTAGCTAGGGCTCGAGCAACTTAATTCACGAGACAAACTGTTGAGCCAATAAACGAGCTCGATTCATTAACGAGCGTTAACATGCTTAATTATATTAAAAAATTATGTAAGAACCTCATTTTTTCATGACCGGTTTGCAATTTTGTTAGAGGCTTAAGTTTAAATCTCTAGCTCAAATTTTTCTTATATGGTCCGAAGGATAAGTTTTGAATTTATAAACAAACATAAACGTGTCTATGATATCTGTGATATTATGCAATGTAACTTATCTTATATATATATATAACAAAGTGTGAAGTGTTGCGTAAATGTGGAGTATGAAATAAATCTTGATCCACTTTGAAACTGAGTATGATCCATGATGCTTATTGCTTAGCGAATTACATATAATTGATGAAGTACTTTATTACTGCAATTCATGCTTTTTCAAGGAGTTTACTTGATCCTACTTTTTAATATATTTTCGGAATAATTAAAGATCAACGCAAAAAACTATAGATAAATTGATGGAGAATGATTTTGACTTGGCGAAATTTGTCAAGTTCCGAGAACAAACCACAGCATGCACGCACGTGCAACTCTTAATTAGCAGAATACTTATGGGGCAAAGAGAAATAGAATGGAAACTTCGAGTTCACATAATTTTAGCGATAGATGGAATATCTTGGGATTTGTGAATCTCATTAATTCAAAAATAATACTACCAACAATAATTATAAGTTACAATAATTATAAGTTATAACTAATCAATCATCATTTTCAGCAACTTTGATATACTATGTATATATATATATACTTTTTTTTAAAAAAAAAAAAATTCAATATGAGTGTGTAGCTAGTTAGTTTACATCTGGGGCAGGTTGGGGACATGCAACTCCTACAACACATGATAATCCAGCACTCTGTTTTGTGGTCTGCTCAAATCAGGGGCAATATTGCTTTTGTTGACAAATATATGTATGCATTTTCACATTGAAATGTAATATTCTGAAAAAAATATCAGCAAACTAAAATGTGATATTCTATGACAAAACGTTACGAAAAGTATAGCATTTCATAAGTACCCTAATTTGATAAAAAGTATGATGAGTCGATCCACTTAGTGATTAGACCGACAAATAAGAATTTGTATTCATAATTGTATGTCAAATTACATTAGAAACAATACTCTTGTGTGTCGTGGAGTGCACGAGTGCGACTTTAAGTAGCAATACAAAATAAAACGCGGAATCGATTTAAACAAAATTGTCTTCAGGAAGTCTTTCGTTTTTCTAAAAACTCTATCACTAGAAAACGGTCGCGCGATAGCGTAATACAGATTCCTGAGACTAGAACTCCCTTCTAATTAATTCTATTTTTCCTACACTCCACTTCCCTACCTACTTTTCTGGCCAACACGTAAACTTAAAAACCTATATGGATCCCTCCAAAGTACATGAACACTTCTTCCAAGCATCATAGAAAAATGATAAAATGAAGATGTCTAAAAGTTAGATACCAATCAAATAAAATGAAAACTAAGCTCTCAAAAACTCTCATAATGTCATAATGTCACGAGCTCTCCCTCTCAATTGTTATAATACAATGATGATCTTATGAATATATATGGGTCCTTCTTTGGTAGTACCTCTTCAGAATCTTTATTGATGGGAAGTTTAATTCCTTCATTATTAAATCTTCGAGATCTCCATGATCACATTTAAATTGGAATGTTCGAAGTCATGTAAGAACACGATTTTCTTTAATTGCGAGATTAAGTGGATCTTGTTCCAGCTATTTCAAATCCGCAATATTCTCTTTCCATCCATGTCAATGTCGCGTCCAAGTCACCAAGCCATGCACGTCGAGGTCCCTTCCAAGTGTGTTCCTACACTAAGTAAGTAAATACATATAGATTAAATCTAACTCAATATTCACCAATTAAAACACAAGAAAACTTAATAAATAAGTTAATCTTCCTTTTTATTTTGTCTTGCTTTTTTTTCCAAGTGAACTATACAAGGAATATGATCAATTAAACAATAAAGTTGTTCGAATTATCTCAACTCAAAATCCTAACAGCTACTAACTTTAATGTGGGCGTTTAGTTAAATCCTATAACATAGTTTCTAATTAATAATAATAATTTTGTAATACAGAACAGCAACAGCTAAGACATATGTAGCATGACCGAAAAAAAAAAAATACATAAATAAATAAATAAATAAAGGAAAATTCTTTGATGAACCGTCCACGACATGCGGTATACTTGGTAGGCATGTGGCGCTGATTATATGCTGATTGAGACAATTAAAACTAATCTTATTTTTCTTCTTTTCATCAGAATTACTATTATGCATCTTCCGTGTGTTTTAAATCTCGCGCTTCTGTTCTTTCCTGGTCGACTGAAATTTTTTGTATAGTTGATTACTTTATATACGTGGCAAATAAATGCGTTAATATTTTTTTAATGATATATACGTGAGGAGTTGAAGCAATAATTTTTACCAGATATCTATTAATCGTTTTTTAATATTTTAGTCCCAGGATAGAGAAAACATGCACCTCTCAAGAACAAGAAAGTTCCCTTTTTTCTCTTGAAATATAGAAGTAGACTCATTATCAGGGGAGGATGATGGATTTTGGTCATTGTCAAACAGCGATGTTAACAACCCAACATTCGCAAATAAAAGTTGCTCGTGGTTGATAGTGATGATTGTTAAGTCGAATTTGAATAGAAAATTAAGCCCATTTAATAGTCGAATGAACACGAGTTTGTGAATGTTCGCGAATATTAATTTAATCTTATATTTATATCTATTGTATTCTCATTCAATAAAACATCTACAATATGAAAATATTTTTATTTTATTATTTTGTTCTCGAGCTCCAACGAGTTTGAACAACAGTTATCGAGTGAATCAAATCGTTTTAAAACTTCCTTTACTAAATTATTCGAACTTGAACTTTGACAATTAATTAAATAAACGAGTTCGAACATGATATTTTGCTCCATTTCTCAGCCTCTTTGATTGGTAGGCGGGGTTACGAACAAATGCAAACATTACTCGAACATAGTTGAAAATGAGCTCAAATTGCATAAGCTCGCTTCGGTCGGTTTGATTACAACACTACTTTCAAGTGAAGTAAATTTTTAAAGTCTTTAATTTTATTTTTTTTATCATTTTACTAGTATGAATTCTAAATTATAAATAAAGACGTAATTTTTTTGAAATTAAAAAACTACAATAATTTATTCAATTTTTGAAAATAAAAAAATTGAATTTGAACCTTATCAAACTCGCTACAATATATTGAAAAATTTATTAAAAAGGGTACATTATAGAAAGAGTTATATTTTTGACAATGAAGTTCAAAAATTAATATAAATGAAGATATGTTATTGCAAGCATGAGATATAAAAGGGAAGTTCTTTTATTTATATTTATACTCATATATTGGAAAGGAAACACGTTTAGATTGATGAGGAGATTTACTTTCCATGTTTCAACATTATATTTGGAAAGAAGATCAAGAAAATCACAAAAAAAAAAAAGAATTTGGAGAAGACTCAACGCCTAAGGAGTTATATATATACCCTACTTGAAGAACAATTGAAGGCTGCTGAAATTCCATTCATTCACCGTATTCAAGCTTCAATTGTAATTGAAGCCTTTTGATATTTTTCATCTTTTTGTTCACAGTTCAGTGTCATGATGTTCTTACAACGTCTGATGAACACTGAAACTGGTTTAAGCTAATTTTGTTTTATTTAATTGGAACACTTTTGTGATCTGAACTTAATTTTGCTCGAGGGATCTAGAGTGTGTTAAAGTCCACAAGACGTGGCCAGAGAAATAGTTGGTAGATTCGAACATAGTTGAAGCTAAGCTATAAGGGAGTTCTAGTTGTCATAAGCCCAAAACTATGTACGTATGCACAATCGAGTTATCAATGAAAGAGCTCTGAGGGGTAGTGGGACGTTCTTCGAAAAGTTTTTATATTTGTTGTGCTTCTGCTATTTCAACTATTCTTGTGTGTTTACGAAAATTGCCATAATTCGTGGTCTTACACAAGTTGAGCGACTTAAACTTTAAACATATACTTTTCAATTACTTATCACCCTCTCAAGATAATTGCAGACGTGACATGATTTCAGCTCACAGTCACGGGCCCAAAAATGGTTGGACCAACAGCACGCAAAAACTTTGTATTGAAAATTTCAATACCTAAATGAACTCCGAATGGGTTAAAAATTACGAGATCTCAAAATAAAGAGTCCAATTGTAAGTAAATCATAGAAGTCGGACAATGTTGGAATTAGCCTACTAGAAAGATAGAACACATTTCAAGTTTTGATGTAAAATTGAGGCAAACAAAATTCAATTGAACTAAATTTTTGTAAGTATGACTAGCTCCAGTAAATGAGTCAATGGTAGGTCACTCTATCAAATAAAAACCCGACGACACCGGGTTACACTGGACAGAGAACAAGAAAAAAGGATGTGTGAAATGTTTTACAGAAAATTGAATGAGTAAATGAATTCAAATTAGACTTAAATTTTGCCGATATGACTACCTCGAAGAGAGGGAGAGTACAATGGTAGGTATCTCCACTAGAATGGACTTTGTTCACTTGATGATATCAATAAATCTATGGATCAGACTCCCTTATGAAACCATCCATAACTTTATGTATTGACACGTGTCCAATTTGTATGTATTTCAAGATACGTGTCAATACACCATTTGTGGATAAGTATAGAACTGTCGGATGACTCCCTTTATGTATTGTTGCACAACCGTTAA